GGAGCACATGCCAAATTCGGACGTGTAACGTTGATTGCTAGGCCCCAAATAGTTGCCGGATTTGGAACTAGGGATAGCTAATCATTCTAGCCTCGGTAAAGTTGGTTAGCGGTTTTCGGTGTGCGTTGAGTCAGGCCAGGATGTTGGGCGGGAAAAGCATGACACTTCATTGCATTGTGATGTATTTATGTTAATTATGACTTACTGACATTCCCGTGCATGACCCATATAACATGTCTCTATTCTTTGTATGTTGATTCAAGGGAGCCCAAAGCTAATGCTTTAGGCATCCCCTACTGAGCCGTTGTGCTCACCCCATACTTCACATTTTCAGGGCATGGTAAACGACACACCCCCGCAAGCTTAGAGTGTAGGGACGAGCTTTTGATATCTTTTGTAATAGACTAGTATGGACAATGATTTTGTAATGTAATTATATTCTTTTGTGAGCTTCAAGCGAAACCTTTGTAATTATGGCCATGGAGGCTTCATCATCTTGTAAACATATTCTTTTACACTTGTATAAATGTTTCAAAGATGTATGAATGATGATATTTATGGATTTTATGAAACGTTTAAAGGTTGATGATGTTCATGGAGTTTTAATTTTATGTTTAGGTGTTTGGGGATTTGCTTTTAACTGGGTTTGGGAAGCAAGAATTTTGTTAGATTAATCTTTAGGCATCATCTAACCGGTTAGATAGGAACATCTACCCGGTTAGATGAATGGGCAATGTGTTGGTTTTGATGGTTTTTCCTTCTAATCGGTTAGAAGGAGTTTTCTAACTGGTTAGATAGGAATTAGGGTGTTCATCTACCCGGGTAGAAGATCTCTTCTAACCGGTTAGATGTATGGGGCAGAGAAGTGGTTGGTTGATTTTCATTATCTAACTGTTTAGATAAAGTTTCCTAATCGGTTAGATATGAATTTTTTTACAATTTTTCCACTGGCCATTCATGTACCCGGTTAGAAGAAATCTTCTAACCAATTAGATGTGATCTGAAAACTTGTAAGCCTAGTAGACCATTCATTTACCCGGTTATCTTCTAACCGGTTAGATAAACTAATGTTTTCACAAGGACTTCATATTTCAATATAATTACCCAATGACCCCCAAACCCCAATCAAAGTGCAGAATGACCTTAGAAAATGACAGAATTACCCCTAAAAGGTGTTAATGTCATATTTTGACCAGAAAATGACTATTTAGCCCCCAAGGGCTTTTATATCACCATTTAATGATGATAAAAGTCTATTTTACAGTTTTGGGTTTAATATTATTATTTGACCATGCAAAAAGACCATTTTACCCCTATGAACTCCAAAACCATTAGAAGGACGTGGTATGACTACAAGGCCCCCAGACCTCATTTAATTCATAAAATGACTTTAATAAATGACGGTTCTACCCATAATGGACCTGAAATCATTAAATTAATATGAAATGACCATAGTACCCTTGTGTCACCTTGGGTCCAGGTAAGGACCCAGTTAGCGATTCGAATCCCCAAATTTGAGTCATTACAGATCCTATTCTCCCTAATTCTATTCATTATTTGGATTCATGGGGTCACAAGAGGTGTGTCTTAGGCACTACCTACTGAGCAATTTGCTCACCCCTTTATTATTAACATTTTTCAGGACACGGCAAAGAAGTGGCGGATGACGGTCCACCACAAATTTAGTTTGGAGAATTGAACCTCACTTTTGCTATCTTTTGTAATTTGGGAAACAATTTTTCAATTCCAGTAGCCTCGCATCATTTTTGGTCACAACCGGTACAGGGGGGTTCACTTCGGTCAACCGAACTATTGTTGCTTGGTTTTTTTTGGTTCCTTTCTCCGGTATTATCCACTTAGAGCCTTGGAAAGTTGCATAGAGCCTTTGTGAAGCATAATTATTAGGGCTGCAAATGAACTGAGCTGTTCATGGGCTCAGTTCGTTAAAAGCTCGGTTCGGGCTCATTCGTGAAGTAAATGAGCCGAGTTTGAACACATTTTTTAGGCTCGTTTAGTAAATGAGCCAAGCTTGAGCAACGCTAAGCTCGGCTTATTAGGCTCGTGAATAGGGTCATTTAGTAAAATAATTTATTTTATTTTATTTTATTTGATATTCATATACAATTGTGTGTCCCATTTAATATAAAGCCAATCAAAATTCATTTCATCTTAAGCCCAATTTCATTTAATTTTAAGCCCAACTTTATTAGCCCAATTTCATTTAACTTTAAGCCCAACTTTATTTCCCCTGCCTAACTCTACTTTATACTTAACCTATTGGCCTATATATCATCCCTTTCAACATCGCTTCCTCTCTCTTACAGTTAGGGTTTCAAATAGATCTCTCTATCAAATCTTTCTTTGGGTCTGGATGTCTCAATCCCATGTTAGTGTTAGGGAGATTAGAAGAATGATCAGAGAATGCGAAAGAGATACAGTGATGCTCTTCGATCCATTGTCAAGACACTATTAGATCTGAAGCTTTTCTTTTTTCTCTTTTCTTTTTCCTTTTTTCCTTTTTTTTTTTTTTTTAATTTTGGTTTGAAAGCGAGCCCTAGCCAAGCCGAGCCCGAGCTTGCCAAAATATTGGCGAGCCAAGCCCGAGCCTAGTTTGTCCAAGCTCGCCTGGGCCTAAGCACCAACTTGAAACTGGCGAGCCGAGCCCGAGCAAGATAAAGCTTGGCTCGGCTCGGCTCATTTGTAGCCCTAATAATAATGTCCTAAGAATGATGTTTTTGATACTAGACATGACGGGATTGACTTAGGTGACCTCGGATTCAGGTAAGGACTCGATTAACAGTTCGGACCCATAAGTTCAGGTCGTTACATTCAGGGTTAGTAGGGATATTGCTAGGATAACATTTTGGTCTTGTGTGATACTGATGTGGCACAAATGAGATACTTGAGATGTATTCTAATTTGGTTTCAAGCCGTCTCTAGCTTGAAAGTCAATGTGGGAAAAAATGTCTTAGCGTCGGTTAGAGAGGTTCCCGATATCTCTACTTTGACTCTTGTTTTAGGGTGCAACATTGGTTCGTTACCCATTTCTTATTTGGGTTTGCCTCTTAGGGCTTTATCTAAGAGTGTGGGTAGTTGGGATCCAGTGAAATAAAAAAAATACCTCTCCAAATGGGGGAGGGTCACTTTTTTTAAGAGCCCTTTATTGAGTCTTCATATGTACTTTCCTTTCATTCTTCCAGATTCCCTCTTTAATGGCTAAAAGGATTGAGAGGTTGCAAAGAATCATTTTGTAAGGAGGTAAACGGAGGAGTTTAAGTATGATCTGGTGTAGTGGGAGAGGGTTTGCACTCCAGTTCGGTAAGGTAGTTTGGGAATTAGAAGATTAGTGCATTTTAATAAGGCCTTGTTGGGAAAATGGCTATGAAGATTCAGGATAAAGAGACAGAGACTTTGGTGGAAGGTGATTGTGAGCAAACATAGGGAGGCGAAAGGATGATGGTACATTCCCGAGGTGAGATTTCTACATAGGGTTGGGGTGTGGAAACACATCCACAATGGGTGGGACAAATTCTCCAAGCATATCAGATTCCGCGTTAGAAATGGCAAGAGGATACATTTTCGAGATGACATCTGGTTTGGGAATCGCTCTTTCGATAGCAGCTTCTCTAGACTAGTTAGCATTGCTTCTGATCGACATGCCATGGTGGACGAATGACATCGTCTTGATAGTGGAAGAATGGTGTGGGGTGTTCTTTTTTTAGGTTGTTTCAGGATTGAGAGATGAAAGATGCTATAGATTTTTTAGATTTGTTATATCGTTAGGAGATAGTGGAGGAGACTTCTAACTTCTGCGTTTGGAGTCCATCTTCATATGGGTGCTTTGATGTTCGATCATTTTATCGTTGTTTTGTAGATGATCCTGGATTGTCATTTCCATGGAGGGTCGTTTGGCAAACAAAAGCGCTTCTGAAAGTTCCTCTTTTTTTTTGCATGGATATCCATTTTGGGCAAGATCTTTACCCAAAACTACCTCCAGAGAAGAAGACAGATCGTGGTGAATTGATGTTGTATGTGAAAAAATGTCTAGAAAACAGTTTATCATCTTCTTTTACATTGCCCAATGGCCCGAGATTGCTGGCTTTTGTTTTTGGGTTTGTTTATGATTCATTGGGTTATGCCACAATCTACCAGAGATTTGATTGAGGCTTGGAGAGGGTGAATAGTGGGATCCAAGCTTGTGACTTTTGGAGGGTTACTCCTTTGTGTGTTTGGTGATGTGTATGGCTAGAAAAAAAAAGGAGGTCCTTTGATTGAAAGGAAAATCATATTGGATCGTTGAAATTCCCCATTCTTAGCACCCTTTTTTGTTAGGTTCTAGGAAGAAATTGTAAATCCTTAGATTATCCAGGAGAGTTTTTCGATTTGTTGAGGGTATAGAGGCCCTATTGAGCCTTGTGTTGTTTTTGAGGAATGCATTTCCCTTTTTGACCAATTTTTTTTTTTTTTTTTTTTTTATTTATTATTATTTTTTTTTATGTAGTCTTACTTGTAAAAAAAAAAAATGAAACCTGCATACAAACCCAGAAGGAGCTGAACAAAAAGACTGTTCCATTCAAAATTGGCACAACATGCCTGAATTCATGGCCGTGAAAATGGCTTAAGCCCGAGTTCCAATTAGAAAAGTTAAAAGTGTGCAACTATGTTGCATCAAGTCTAGTAAGAATTGTAATTTCAGTCCTTCCATAGGCAGTTTTGGTTGCCTAACCAAGTTCACACCCAATTATAATGGAATATAATGTGTGCGCGTGCGTGACACAGAGAAGGGGGGGGGGGGGGGGGGGGGGGGGGGCGAGCTTGGGGGGGATGGGGTGGTGGTGGTTATCCGTGAGAGATCTCAAGGAAATATGGTCTCAAACCCTGCCAATCAATTGTTACATTACAAATGGCAAATAACCCTGAAACCCTGCCAATCAACTGTTACATTACCAATGGGCATTGACCCAGACAGTACGATTTCTCCTCCTCAAATGAGAGGTCAGTGTTTAAGCCCCATTAGTCGTGGGCAATATATTATGGGTGTATGTCGGTTCGCTTTAACTTTCAAAACAAAAAATTATTACATTGAAAGAAATGTGAAGGGAAATGAACACTTTGAACCGACGGAACATGTTCTTTCAACCTTTTAACAGAAGTCTAATTGCAGATGAAGAAATAAGCATAAAATCCTTTGTACAAAAAAGCGGAAATAGAGAAAAATAAAAATTCCAGCATAATGTCAAGTATACCTTCTAAACCTCCAGGCCGAAACTGAAAAAAGGGGTTGATCATGCCAGCAAATTACCACACAACCATGTTCTTCTTTGATCTTATAGCCGTCATAGCCATAGCTCTGCAACAACCTGTTTGCTTGCAGCATACCATGGTAGCTCAACGGCACCCTCCCAAACCCTGTCAACTCTAGTCTCGGAATCCATTTCTCGAGCTTCTCGTGCCTCTCCTTTCTCTCCAGTCCCTCACATGCAATAATGTTCTTAATTTCCTCGCCAAAAAGCATCTTCTCTACCTTTTGACGCTCTATTGAGGCCCTCGACACAGTAGACTCCAAGCAATCAAACAGTGCTGCATAAAACTTCAATGCTTCCATGATTCTATCCATCAGACTGCACCCATTATGGTTTGATTCTTGCTCAGTTACCACCATCAGCTTCGGCGAAAGTCCCCAAAGGGCATTTAGAAAACCCCCCATCTTTGTTGAAGGTGACAAAGATAGTGGAGATGATGATGATGAATCAGGACTCGGGCTATACATATTACTCACATCTTTCTGAAGAAAATCTCCCAAAGTGCGTGGATTCATCTGCAGGACTTTTTGAAAGTGATGTGAATTTGAATTCTTGGATGCTGACGGGGAGCTTCTTCTAAGCATCTCATCATCAAAAGCCAAGAGAGAGTGTAGTTGAAGTGTGGAGCTGATTGCAAGAGCTTCTCCCGTCTTACGCAAACTTTCAATATCAAGATTCTCTAATTTACCAACTACAGGATTGAATTGGAATGGGATGTCCAATTTTTCAGCTTCTTCGTTCAATCGATGAGCCATTTGTTCCAGTACCTCTTTCTGTTCATGAATGCCAGTGATTCTCAAATGGGGCGGACCTTCAGGCCGTGCACTTAATGCTTGAAGAAGATTAATCCACTGAGCAGGCTCGAAAGAATTGAGATCGATAATATGAACCATCTTCTCCCCTTCCATAGCTTCTATAATGGCGTGGTTTGTGAGAACATATGAAAGCTTCAAGAAGGGGCAAAGCTCGAAGAACAATCTCTTAACAAGAATTTCGTCAGAAACGGATGATATTTTGGTAGAATTGAGGGCTTTGTGCAATCCAGGCCAGCCTTTAAGCATCCTGTCAGCAAGTGCCTCAGTGAAATAAGCAGCAATTCGCTGCATCGTATCGCCATCAGGTGAGGCAAGGTAGGACATGTGCTCGAGGCCAATATTTGCATTCTCAACACTACCGGCAGCAACATGGTTAGCACAGGCAACAAGAAGGTGGATAAGACATAAACCTCTCTCCTCGGACTTCATCTCCCTGAGCCATGGATATGGTGATCCTAAACCAGGGGAAAGCGACATCAGGGAGAAGAGTTGAAGGGGTGATGAACTCACAGATGATGATCCTTCCTCTTGAACCATTTTCACCTTTAACAGCAAGATCGGGCTTGTACTGCCTAAAGATGGGATCTGAAAATGGACGATTATAGATAAAATGAGACCAAATTTTAAATAAACTTAATGCCACAACAATTGCACTAGCACTACAATTGATTGCCAAGAAAACTGATGAAAGGAAAAGAACAGAAATTTTCTATCTTACGTGTATGTCTTTTGCTTTACAATCACTCTGTTTGGTTATCAATAATATTGAAGAAAATAAAAGAATTATTTTTAAAGAAAATATGAGTAGTATGTTTTATGTTGTAACATTAAGAACTTCCCCAATCATGCCAAAGAGTTCTATTGCACTTAGCTGAGCAGAGTGTATATTTTCTGAGTCCTAAGAAAATAAACTTTATACATCACCAAACTCTCATTTGTTTCTCTATATCTTCTGCTCAACCACTAAATGGAACAAAAATGACGACAACGATATTATACAAGCCGAATCCTCTCATTAGCGAGTGGTGAACTTACAATAACTAACGGGCACAAGCCGATTCAATTTGTGTATCATTTTTTCAAACCGTAAATGGATCTCAATAAAGCAAAATAATTGTACTGTTTTTCAGATAAGCAGAAATGATGAAAAATTATCAAGATTCAAATTAATTCATACATTTATATCCTCCTAATATTCATCAGCAACAAAAAGAGCAAATTTTTGCCTCATTCACCAAATTGTTGTGTTAGACTCGAAAAAGTGAAGCTTCCAGTTTTTCAGACTAACATTGAAGTTTCAATTTTTGTTCCTTTTACACATCCCAATTGAAATACCAAAACCTTCATGCATCATAATACAAAGATAATAATTGTAATATGATAACTCTATTCTCAACATTTCAAAAGTACAAGTCAATTGCAGTAAACAGAACCATTAGGTTCCATCGAATTTGAAAGAAAATGAAGGAAAATTACACCACCAAATCTTAGGAAAATCATTGCATACACAAACTCTCAAAACATGCTCATTGGATATGAATTATACATTGAATCAAACACAGGAATCCAAAAACAAGTAACAGAGAGAGACAGAGAGAGAGAGAGCGAGGGAGGGTAGAAAAATTACCAGAAACAGTTTAGTGTTTGCTCATTGAATTACTGAACAAATTCAAATTCCCAACTGGGTTTTGCAATTGAATAGAAACCCAGATAAAACCTTGTGAAAATTTCCAATCTTGTTGAGCCAATCTCCTTATCACTCAGAGCAGTTATTGTTGCAAAAGTGGGGAATTATAGCTCTTGTCTTGAAGGGTCTTTCTATGGCTGCTTTGGAAACAATTCAAAGTGGGGTTTTTGTCCTCATTTTTTTGTTTGTCCTTTGGGAGGATTAGAGGAATATGGAATTTGTGATAGACAGAGCTCTCTCTCTCTCTCTTTCTCTCTCTAGATTTGTGTTTGTCTGTATGCTATGTCTATGGGAATAAGAGCTGGCAAAACTATGGTATTATTCTCAATTAACACAAAATCCAAACATGTATTCACAAGACAGAACAAACACCTTTGCTTGTTGCTTAGTGGGTGATAGTGGGAATTGCAAGGGAAGCCTTCCAAGTGCCTCCAAAACTACTATTTTGTTTTCTTTTTAAAGGCAATAGAGTACCATCCAATTGGTACTTTCTTCTTGCATAAGGACAAAGAGACAAGGAGGTTGTGGGAAAAGCAAGAAGTAGACAAGAACATTTAACTTTAGGTGTGGACTTTTATAAGTGGGAGACCTTGGAATATCATAACTCCAAAGCTAAAAGTATTTTTAAATTATTTTTTTGCATTACCTTAACTCCAAACAACCCCTAATTTATGCCACATCTTCGTGCCATAGTGTCACCCCTCACCATCATATTTTAAATAATAAATGAATTCATTGAATGTGTGAAAACTTTTGCCAATGATACCCACTATGCAGTGTTTCAAGTTCTTTAAGCCTTTTTCTATGTTACCCACTTTGAAGTAAAGCATGGTTCTTTAAGCCTATACAACTTTTGTGGTATATTAATGTTTTTTAAGCTTTTAGTTATTAATAATATACAATTTTTTGTTTTTATTTAGGTAAATGCTCATCCAAACTAGCGACCGACTCTGAAATTTAATTCAGTGGGGGCAATTATTAACAATAATAAAATAAAAAATTTTGAGCCAAAATAATAAATAGCAACGTAGGTCTTTTCCGAATTTTGATTCTTATAGTTTTTATGGGGCTTGCGAGAGGAGAAAAGACATGGGTGTTTTCTAAATTTTGAATTTTTTATTGGGCAAATGAGTCAGAAATGAGGTTTTTTCCTTTTTTCTTTTTTTGGAAGTTTTTCTTAGAGGATTTTTGTGAATTTTTGGAGTTCAATCGTGGAACTTTTATAATTATCGAAGTTTGCATATATAAAATATAAATAACAGAAAACTCAATAGCAAAGGAAGAGTCTCTTTTTTATTTTGATTCTTAAACATGAGTCTTTTCTGAATTTTCAAAATTTTGTTGGGCAAAAGAGTTATAAAATAAGGGATCTTTTTTACTTTTGCAAGCTTTTGTAAGGTCTTTTATGAATATTTTTAAAAGTTTAGTGGGGAAACTTTTAGAATTATCAAAGCTTATTTGTAGAAAATACAAATATATTTTTTTCCAGTGGGGGGAAATTGACCCCATTGGCGCTTAGCCACTGCTCAGACACCTACAAATATCCCACTATGGACTCAAATGCCTCACTTCCCCTTTGATGGAAGAGAGAGTATACCAAATGAACTAATAATCCCTTGATTGCATACTAGTCTTAATGATAAGGAATATTAGCTCAACACGAAAGTCAAAGAAATTTGGATAGATTACACGTAGATGAGATATCATCGACTTCTATATGGAATAACTCTCCTAGTCCTTGGTAGAGGAGTAAAGGGAATCAATTCCCTATGTGGACACGACTATCATTAATTCTCTTATAAAGGAAAAGTCAGGCAACTCAAAAGGTATGCCAAAAATTCAATGTAAAGTCTTCTTTTGACTTATTATGGCTCAAGTACTAACTTGACCGTCAGAGTGCACCCGCCCGGCACCACACCAGTCGTCACTTCTCTCTTGTCTTGCAGGAAACACTCTCGCTCTGGACCATCTAGATTTTTGCATCAACAGTTGGTGCCATCTGTGGGAACGTGTGCTAGTCCCACAAAGAAATTACAACTAGTTCCGCAAAGAAATTACAATCGAGAAATTTCTAATTTTTTCTTAGAAATTCCTAATTATTTTTTCCCAACTAAATCACGATCGAGAAATTTTTGATCTTTTCAATGATATTTGTGTTCGCTAGCTCACTCTCATGTTCTGTTCTTTAGCGTTCATTAGAGGGCCACCTTCACAGGTCACAAGCCCAAGTCTGGTTCCGAACAGGACTCTATTCTCTATTTCCATCTACATATACAACCAAGTTATAAATCAAGTAGAGCCGTTTACAGAGCAAGGTGGAGGAAGCTCTATTTCTATGGTCTAAATCAGTCTTTCTCCGAAACGATTGTTTCTGATGACGCACTGAGCTGTCATCCTAACATAGGCGATCAGATCCATTGCCGTGAACAATCTCCTAACCTTATAAGGTTTTGTAAGGTAGGTATGTAGGCTATTTAAATTAAGTTAATTGATGAGCGCTGAAAAGTGCGAATTTAAACCCCTTAAGCTTAGCTATTCTAGGACCTTTATCTATCTTATTTTCCCGCTTTAGATTGATTTCATGTTATTTCCATTTTCCGGTACTTATCCCCAAAAAAAGCTAAGTCAGCCAAATAAGAGCAGAAATAAAGCAATTCTGGGATGAATCAAAGAAATGAGCAAAGTAGAGCAAAAGGAAGTAAAAGATGGAATTTCAGCATCTTCGATCGATCTCACCTCAAGTTCGATCAATCGAACTTCCATCGATCTCAGCACTTCAAGATAGATCCAGGCCATGATGCCATTTTCAGATATCCTAAAAGTTCGATGGATCCAACATTATTCTTCGACCAATCGAACATTCTTGTCCTTATCCACATGCCAGATCTTATCCAGCTGTACCAACCTACCAACCACTTTTGTCCTTTTCCCAAAAATATCGTCAAAATATCTCAGATTTGTTTTTATCCAAAAAGGCGCCGCCATTGAGGATCGATCCAACTTCAGTTCGATAGATCTCAACCATATTCGATCGATCCAATTTCAAGTTCGATCGATCGAACTTTCCAAATCTTGAGAAAATCTAAATTCCAGCTCACTAAAAGTTATCTCATATCCAATCATTGGGGAATATTTGCTGTATGAGCCTAGCCATTTTGGGTGATTTTTGACCTACCTATATAAGGAATATGAGCCACTTTTTGAGGGGATTGACTCCAAAGACTTTTCATTCTCATTTTACACTTAGAGGCTAAGAAAGGAGGAGGTTAGAGACACACCATTGGAGACTCTTCATCAACCAAGGAGCAATCTCTACCATGAAGTTAGCCCTTTAGGGTTGGAAGACACCATCCATGAGTGGCTAGACATCCTCTTGGGGCTAGAGTTAGCCCTAAGCATGCTTTCTACATTTTGATTTATGTATTTTTAAGGGGATTTGTATTGTGATACTTGTTTTGACATATTTATATATATAGATCTTGTTTATTCAATGATTTGTATGGTTTAATGCTTCTAATTGATCATTTCATTCTATACATATGTCTATGTATACTAGAATAGATGTTCATGTGTTTATCTTTATTTCTTGTGTTGTTGATGCATGTCTATGTGTATTGATGCTATAGATCTAGAAATTGTTAAGACATAGTGCTTAATGCAATGTCCATGTGATTTATTTGATGGTTCATACTTATTTCTTGATGGATTGTGCCTCTCCCTTAGTTTAATTAGTTTAATTTCATGTCATTAGCTTAGTTGTAGTGTAGTGGTAGCTAGATGTTAAATGGGAGGACAATCCATGCTTGTTGTTTGATGTTCCATACTCATGAATGCAAGTGGCATATTTCTTTAATTTTGTGATATGTTTGGTTGTGAGCTTAAAGAAAGGATTAATGGTTTACTTTGATATGTTGTGCTATCCACAAAGTTGCTGAGCCAATGTATGCTTAATTTGTCATCCATACTTGTTAAAACAACCACACACTCACACCATTGTTACAATACATGCCTTTCCCCTCATTAATCATTTATTAAGGGTGTAGAAAAACTATGCTTAGTGGTGATCTCTAAACCCCAAAATCTCTCTCTCTCTCTTATTTTACCTCTATTGCATTATTGTTTATTTTAGTTTAAATTGCATCTTAGCTTAATCCAACCACCAACCAATCCTTTGATCACTCGACCTATTAACCCTAATCTTGATTCCATAACCTTTTGCAACCCTCACAATCCCTTGGTACGATCCCTGTTCACTCTTGTTATGTTAGTAGTAGTGTTGGTAGTAGTTTTTATAAATTTTAATTTGACCTAAAAGGCTTTTCTTGAACTGCACATTCACTACATCAATTTGGCGTATAGGAACGGCCGCCATCAAATTTTGGCGCCGTTGTCAGGGATTAATTAATTGGCAACGTCGTATTTGTGGAATCAATTAGGAATTAGTACTCTTTTGATTGTGTCTTTACTTTATTTTTATTTTTATTTTGGTTACTTATTGTGTTGGTTCTTGTTTGACTAGGAGCATTGAGCAAGAAGGTGAGCAAAGGTACATCCAAGCAAATGAGCTAAGAAAAGCATGGAAAAAGGCTAAAATCATTATAAAAAAAATTGCTAAGCTAAGCTAAAAGCTAAAAATTTTGGAGTTGAAATACTATAGAACCTTTGTGAGATCTTTCTAACTCAATCTCTAGATAAATCGTGAGCCCGTGTAGAGGCAATTTTACTTTTCTTTGCATGTCGTTCAAGCATGGGAGTACGGGAACAATGTATGTGGAGGAAGTTTGTTGATTTTTGATTTGTTTTGAAGGTGAAGTGTTTGTCATTTTTGCTTGTTGTGTTGCATTGTGCATGCATGATCATAGATCATTGAGACCCACTCTTGTCCCTTTAAATTTTCATCTTGAATCCATTATTCGAAACCCTAGGGGAAGAGGTAGTTCTAGTCAATTTATTTCATCAATAGAATGACACAATGAGGACCATGTGGAGGACCTTGGTCACATAGACCAACAAGGTATCCTCCACCCCAATGTGCATCATGATAACATGCAAGTACCATTAGGCATGCCAAGGCCATTCATTCATCCACAACAACAATAAGGCCAAGTTTCATTGGGAATGCCAAGGCCAATCTATGCTACACCACCTCCTATTATTCAAGGTAACCAAGGTGCCCATGTTGCACCTCCAATTGCTAATCCTCCCCTTGCTTTAAGAGATTACTATGTGCCTAATGAATATAATACACCCACATGCATTCAATTGCCACCATTTAGAGCACACCATAATAAAATTAAGCCACAAACCATTTAAATGCTTCCAAACTATCATGGACTTCCAAGTGAAGAACCTTACAAGCATTTGGATGAGTTTCTTGAAGTATGTTCCACCGTGACATAC